AGTACTCTTTTAGAAACTAAGTTTTTAGCATCTGGGCTTCAGTAGAAACTTTGTCTTCAGATCTTCTAGCTTTGTTCCTTTAGAACACACTGTCTTTAGAAACTTGAGTCTTTAGCATATGGACTTTAGTAGAAAATTGTGTCAGCAGATCTTTTGACCATTTTCTTATAACATGTTGTCTTTAGAAGCTTGAGTCTTCAGCATCTAGACGTAAGTAGAAACTTCTGTCTTAAGATCTTCTGACTTTTCGTTAGAACTCGTTGTCTTCTGAAACATGATTCTTCAGCATCTAGACTTAACTAGCAACTTTTGGCTTCAGATCTTCTGACCGGTTTATTTAGAAAAACATCAGAGCTTACACTTCAGAGCCTTCTGGAGTTTCTTGCTAATGTTCAACAGAACTTGTGTAGCACTGAAGCAGAACTAATTCTATTCTAATGTCTTGGTCATGCCATCCATCAGAAGCAGAACCTATTTATTAAGTACTCAACAATAACAAACATTAGTACAACAAAATTGTTCATACAAACATACTCATTTGTTATCATCAAAACTCAGAGATGATATTTCAAAACCAAATCTCGTTCTTACAGTTACACCTTATTAGCCACCTCTGGCAAAATTTTGTTTTTACCCCTCGAATTTAGAGATGTATCTCCGAACACACCACAATTTATTTTTTCTAGGGTTATTTCGAAAATATAACTCTTAAACACCCAAAAACCTCCAAAAATTTCTAATTTCAAATTTCATTCATATTAGTGTACTCATTTTCACTTGTTACAACTCACTCCAACTCTAAATTTCATCACATTTCAACAACTTTAAAAGCTTCAAATTCGAGTAAGTTCTCTAATCCATTTTAATCTTTGCATTTCTATTTTTATTTGTTTAGATTCTGTACAAATTGTAAAAAGATCCATTTAAGTGTACAAATTTGGTTTTGGTGTAAGACTGTTGCTGTTAGGTTTTAGTTGGGTAATGGAAGTCGTAGGTTTTTTTGGAGATACATCTTCGAAAACCCCTCTAATATGTTTCAGAGATGCATCTCCAAAAAAAATTCCTGGGATTATTATTTTTTAATTTTCAAAGATGTTCTTGTTTGTTCGCTTACCTTTGATTTGATTAGCGGTTGTTTGTCTTTCCCGAATAATGGAAGAGAACCCCAACATATTAAGACTTGGTAGGCCTAGTCAAACTGCATCTGCTCGACGAGAAATAGATGAGCAGACTACGAGTCATCGAGGATGCGGTCGAGTCCCGTGGGTGCAAGTGGAAGGAACATTGACTTCTTCTCCGAGGAGTCAACTTTCATGTACGTCCTCGTCTAGGGATTACGAGGAGGAGAAACCCGAGGGGTTCAGGTTTCGAAACCCGAAATAGATGATGTTCCAGAACTCGAGGAGGAGGCTAACCCAAGTTTTGCAGGAGGATCGTCTGACACTTCCCTCTTGACCTATTACACCGATCATGTCGCTCGATATATTTCAAATTGAACATGTATATTATTCTTTGTTACACTTTTAATTAAAATGATTTACACACTAATATGTTAAAATTAATATTAATTATTTATCTTTACATGAACTTCGGCCACTAATGTGTGTGGACCACACGCGAAATATATATGATATGTATCATCTTGAGGAGGCTTGGTTTAGAGAGGCCATTTTTGGCTTCGGACTTGCCGGCCTTTGTTGTTCTGGCTATAGCACCATCGGCCACGGCATGCACGGGGCATTTGTAGAGAGATGGCACAATGAGACATCATCTTTCCACTTGCCTATTGGGGAGATGACAATAACACTTGATGATATTTCCTGCCTGTTACACCTTCCTATCAGAGGGAGGTTACTTAACCACTCCCGAATCGATCGTAATTTAGAGATTGAATGGATGGTCGAATATCTTGGATATGATTATGAAGAGGCATTTAAGAAGTTTTCCTCTACCAATGGGGCTCATTCCAAGTTCTCATTTCTTAAGGATAAGTATGACCAGCACCTCTCTACGGAAACTACTTCCCAGTCATAGGGGGGGCGACTTCTTTGCTCTTTATCATCATCAATGTGCTCTGAGGTGGCATGTCCATTTTTGTGGTCAAAAGCGCCAACTACATGGATGTAACATATCTTCAATACTTCATGAATTTGGATACAATGAGAGAGTGGAACTGGGGCCCAACTATTTGGTATACCTTTACCAACACTTGAATGGAGCCTTTAACTAGAGGACGCGTCAGGTGATAGACTCTGCTACATTGTTGATAGTAATTATCATTCAAACTATTAAATTTTATTTACTATTAATAACTATAACTTTTTCTTACATGAATCTTATTTGTTTTTCACGGCTGGATCATTTCACATTTCTACCGCATCCATGGTGTCGATTATGCTCGGGATTATATTGAGCACATGTCGAGGGATGCTTGGTATGCCCCTCACAAAGGGAACCAGGCTATACTTCCTTTCCGGATATATCTGGATAGGACTGTCCATGATGACATCCTATAGACGCTGTTCGGGGAGCGCCAAGAGATTATCCAGTTTGACCCCATCTCACTATACTCTGGGTGGCTAGCTTGTGGGGTTAACATTATGGTTAGGTATCTTCCAGGGCGATGCATGCGTCAGTTTGGCTATGTGCAGACCATAAACATATCTCTCTTTCAGGCTGATCTTGACACCATTGTTCGCTGGGAGCTTGATGTCATATTCCAGGATTGGTAGAATCATATGGTGCCTAAGCAGGGTCAGATGATGCATACGACCAACAGTTAGCACTATGTTGAGGGATATGTGACATGGTTCTACACAGATTCACATCATGTCATGACACTGGATTCTCGTGGACGTTTGCCTAGGCCATCTAATGATGAGATCTTAGAGAACCAACAGGCTGAGGATGACCATGTCATTGATCTGTTGCCTATCTGTCACTAGATACAAATGATTGGGCGGGAGGCGTTGGACATAAGTATCATCGACCGGGGCGGTCCTGAGGCGGTGGCCATTGTGGAGCGGATGGTTGGGGAGGCAGAGAGTGCAACATGATACAATAGACAAAAGAGGGCTTGGGAGTGAGGACCAGACATACACAGTAGGCTATGCCTTTTTTATGCTTTTTTTAATTTCCTGACAATTTATGAGCAATTATTGTATTATTTTAAAATGTTCAACAACTTATTCAATCTATTATCGTTATTTATGTCTTATCATTTTTAATTTGTATTTTTATTATCGTTTTCAACTAATTATTTATCAACATGTTGAAGATTTTAAAAAAAAATATCACTGTTCAGGATTTCAGAGATGCACCTTCGAAAGAACCAAATCAGAGTGTTTCAGAGATACAACTCCGAAAATATCAGTGCATGTTTAAATATAATGTCCAATTTCAAACAAATTGTTTTTGGATATGAATCTCCGAAACATCTTGATCTAGTAAAACGTTCGGAAATGCATCTTCGAAGAGGTGTACAAAGAAAATCCCAAATAAGTTTAGTGATATTATTACAAAATTGTTATCCGCATAACCTTTCTACAAGATCCGTAAAAAATTAGAAATTTTATATACTTTTTGCTTTAAATAATCATTGATCTCTATTTCATTTTGTTGCTTATTTTCCATTCCAAATTACCTTTTATCATTCACTAAATTTTCACATAACATATCAAATCATAGTGTTATAACTCAAACCATTTCAGTCAGTTGAATCGATTAGACTGTGAATTGGAAGATTGAGCGGTCAGGGAAGGTCATTAGACCATTATAATAATTGATCTGGTGAAATTCGACGTGACTCAGGCGATTCACTGGTCAGACAAATGAACTAATAAGTTTCTCAATCTGACAAATTGAGTTTTTATATTTATTTTTATAGTTTAATTATAATTTTAATCCTTATTTTAATTTGTTTATGTTTTGATGCTTCTGATTTAAAATCTGATTTTATTAATATATATATATATATATATATATATATATATATATATATATATATATATATATATATATATATATATATATATATATATATATATATATATATATATATATATATATATATATTATTTATAATAATTAAATAATATTAAAATTATAAAAATGAAATTTGTCAAACTTTGTGATGGTAATTTTATCAACTACACCATAAATCTTTTTGATGGTTAATTTGATTAAAGAGAAGAAAGTGATATATTCTATAGTTGCAACATTATAATGCTTAATAAATTTATTTATTATTAATCATAAATTAATAAATTTAAAATGTTTCAAAATTAAGTATACAAGATATTAATACTTTAAACAAATAAATGTGTAAAATAAATCATGTTAAAAAAATAAAACTATACTTTTATATTATAGTATTTTTGTAGTCCGATCGGTAATCTAATGGTCTAAGCATTGACCCAATAATTTAGTAGCTTGACTGATGAAATTGAAAATTGATCCGAATTTTAAAACATTATATGAAATAGTTTTCGGTGTATCATATAACTCAGTAGCTTGACTGACCAAACATATTTTCTTTATCGATATATCGATATCCAAGCATATTTCCTATTTAAAAATTTTCTTTGGTATATAAGACAGAATAATTCAATATATATATATATATATATATAAACTATTTTTCTTTTAAAACTCTTCTAGAATGGTGGAAATGAGACAAATTAATTGCAATATATATAGATTAGATTTTCTTTTGAAACTCTTCTGAGTTGGTAGTTTTGATACAAATTAATTGCAATATATATAAAACAAGTTTTTCTATCACGTAACTAATTAAATTCTGTTTATCTCTTCAAATAACAATCAATTGGGTCAGATTAGTTAACTTAATTTTATCAAAATATCTTCTTCTCACGCAAAGCTACATTAATTATTTCCTTTTTTCAACTAAGGAAATCAATGGTGATATAAATTGGAGTGATATGAAGCCAATTACATTCCATGCAAAACAATATTATCGATAAGAATAGAAAAATAGTGTTATGGCTAAAACCAGTGCTTCAGTTGTTCTAGCTGTCCTTGTTGTAGAATTATTTCTGAATGGCTATAATGCTGCTGAGGGTGTAGAAAGAGGTTATCAACCTAAGAAAGGTGAAGCTGATGCTTACAATTCTAATGAGCTATTTGATTTTCTTGAATGCTTGAAGTTGTTTAAGTTGTGTTGTGAATGTGTTTTTGATATTTTTTTATGTATTATGATATCAAAACTATATAGCCTTCATCTTTACATACATGAAATAAATGCATTGTTTCCATGATTGCAGCAGGAGTAGGTTGCTCTTTCGAAATATGTCCCAATACCGACTGTTTAGAATATTGTAAGTCAAAAGGCTTCCCTAAAGGTGGTTTTTGTTTTGGATCACGACCCTCTGGAATCTGTTGTTGCTTTGAAGATGATTAAGAGATCTATGTTTGATAATTGTACATTTTCAACATAGTTTTAAGGTTTTTATTAAAATAAGTTGAATAGCCACCATTGTAAGTTCAACTCGGATGTAATTTCCAATATTAAGAATTGCCGGTAATAAATAAAACACCCTTGCACACTTATATGATACCGGAAGTAATGGAACATCTTTTCATGATTTTACGTATATTGTTAGACTAAAATTAGTTTTTATATATATTGTCAGTCTATTTTACAATCAAATGGTAATGTAGAGAGTAAAAAATCTTATTTTAGAAGAACTAAATCGGACAATGATAAGAGAGAGGGCTTTATCCAAAATATTTTTGGGCGTGTGCGATGAGCACTCGATAATATAGCTTAAATAAAGTGTTATTAGATTTATTCTAGAAAAGATTCTATGCGACTAACTTAAAGGTTAAGCCAAATATCTTATGCTTATATGTTTTTGGTTGTAAATATTTTATTTTGAATAATGGTACGAATAAGTAAAGTAATTTCGATGCTAAAAAAATGCTTACACACAAGCCTTCATATATTGCGTTTTATTTTAGATCTTGCATGTAGTCAATTTAATTGCTTTGAGAGTTTGCTTTTTTTTAGGTTTATTTGTTAAGTTTAAGGTATGAGTATATGAATTCATCTATTTGGTTATTAATTCTTACAATTTGAAATATTATATTGTTTAATGAAGTGATCAAAAGAAATGCAAATTTCTCCATTTGAATTGAGGTAGTTTGATATCCAAATTACTACCTCATCATTATTGTCTTGTAATTTCTGAATCACTGTGTACAATACTTTCAATTGAAGGAAAAAAAAAAACCTTTCCAAACGATTTTATCATCTAAGCTTCGGCATAAATAACTCTATTTTTGATCTTTAAGAAAAAGAATAGTATATTATTCAACATCGTTCTAGATTGTTCTATCATGATAGGTGCATTATATGAATATGCAACTGAGTAAATCTATCACCTTTCAAACTACCGCCACCAACGATCTCTCAAGAAAAAAAATAGTCCCCTAAAAGGTCGAAGTAGACTATCAATCTATCCTTATTTTTAGGAAAAATGGTTTATTAACATCTAACAACTTAACCCATGAAAACTCGGCCTCAACATTCACCCTCCCTCCTCAGCTAACATAATGATGTATCCACAAGTGCAAACACCTGGTAACAAATGTAATGAGGGGAACATAAGTCGATTTAAGAAGAGGATTATCCCTCTACGAGAGATCAAGTTATTTGAAAGGAAAATACTTAGTTCTACGATGAACAAAAATCACCAGTTAGATAAAAAAAGTGATCCACATTTACCTCAATAAGGTTTCTCTTAGATATATTAACACGGATACAAAAGCAATAGATAAACCCTTGAGGATATCTTAAATAATACAATAATTATCATTCTATGATTTGGCCAAAATAAGAGTGTTGTCCACATACTAAAGGCAAGAGATCAAAAATTCAAAGGATAAATTTACCTATTAAACAACTCATTCACTATGCCAAATAAGTACATAGACAACACTTTTTTTTGCCATAGACAGCGCTTATAAGCGTTATTACTGTAACCATAGACAGCGCTTTTCGTCTATATAAAAGCGCTGCTTAATGTAGACCTTAGACATCGCTTTATTGAATAAGCGCTTTCGAAAGGCCTCTATAGGCAGCGCTTTCTATAGTGTGCCTATAGCAGCGCTTTCACTTTAGACAGCGCTTCCTCAAGCTGTCTAAAGTAAAAGCGCTGTTATAGGCACACTATAGAAAAAGCGCTATCTAATATGTATTTTTTCTTCTTTTTCTTATATTTTAAGCAAGCGCTGTCTAAAGTCCCCTTTTAGGCAGCGCTTATTATTTCACAAGCGCTTTCTATTTCCCATAACATGCAGCGCTTTTTGGTTTAAAGTGGTGTCTACTGTTAACGAATTTTTTAATATATTCAGCTTATATTTTAAGTGTCCTATACACATAATCACTTAAAATTTAAACGCTGTCTTTCAAATTTACACCAGAATTTATAAATTTGAAGCTTCAATCCAATAAATGTGTTTATATATACATAAATACAACTTAAAGAATTCAATAATTTATATAAACATAAATTTTTAAATATTTACGTATACAGCTTTATAAACAAATAAATATGCACCAAATGTACATATTATTATCTTCTAGAGCTGCTATATTCTCTACTATCTTCTCTACAAACAACAACAATGAAGAATCCTAAATGAATCTATATGACTTCTACATATGCACCTACCTGAATCCAAACCAACAAAGACATATATATATCATAATCAAGTTATATATATATATATATATATATATATATATATATATATATATATATATATATATATATATATATATATATATATATATATATATATAACACTTAAAAATCAATGTAACAAAAATAAATCAAGATTCATACAAATAAAATTCCCCGATTCATACCATACAAACAAAATTCCCCAATTTCGTCCATACAGACAAACAAAATTCCGTTATAACCCAACATTAAAAATTACCCGATTCATACATACAAACAAAATTCCCCGATTCCGTTATAACCCATCATTAAAAATTCTCTGATTCATGCCATACAAACAAAATTTTAAATCCAATACCATCCTAACTAACCTTCCATATAACAACAACAGCATTACAACAATTTACAACACTATGACGACATAGTATCTCATTAACTCAAACTTATATATACTCAAAATTCTCATCAATAAAAGTGTACCCAATACCTTATAAAATTCTCATCTCAATAATGTATTGACACCAATCCTCCTTAATTTCGTCCAAATGATCTTTAAAATAAGTAGAACACTTGTATTCTTCAAAGTACTACATAATATAACATAATATAACATAATATGATTTAGTTAAAACTAATTAATTAGATGAAATATGTTAAATATATTAGAATAAATCATAAGTTAGAAACTCATACCATAGATGAAATTTATATTTGATTCAAAAGAATAATTTCTTTCATAAACCTCAACATGAAATAACCGCAATCTATACCATTGCGTTGACGAGGAAACTACACATGGAAAAATATACAAATATATATCATCTCATATAATTTAACTTGTTTTATCAAGTATCATCACTAATATAATCAAAATTATATAAATATATATGCACTCTAATCCATGTAACGTTGTTTGTCTTACTCTTTGGTACTTGAATATTTCTTTGTGATCTAAAAATTTGTATAACCCTAACAAAATATAAACGAAGATTTAGAACAATCTCACATAAATAAATAAATAAATATGCAAATGATGATTTAGAATAATCTAACTTACGTATCAACCATCTCTTTCATGTTTGCGTATTTTATCCAATCGCCTTCTAACGAATCCAAATAATATACAACTTCTTTTATTGGATTGATCGCAACCAACAATCAGTGCCCATTGTAAGATTAACAAAGGTTAGATTGAAACTTTCTACAAAACGTCAAAACACGAAAAATTATAATAGATGAAGTTTGAATAAAAATCTTACACATTTCCAGTATTAAATGAAAAAAAACAATTTTTTCGTATCTTTGTTGGCCATAAATGTACGGACAAAATACTCTTTTACATCATCTGGTCATTGTTGGATTAATAGTGCATTGATATTGTTTGGTGATAAGGAGAATCTTTGGTCCAATTAATGCGAGCGCATCAAACAGACATGCATGAAAATTAAATAAATACATCATTAACATTAAGACCGTTCATTGAAACTAGTAGATAAATTATTCAATAAAAAAAATAAAGTTGATCGGAGAATACCTAATGTATGTATTGACAACACCGAGGCCTAATTCTTCATGTTTAAGAATTTAATCCACATCCTCTATACTTATTGTTTCGTAATAGGAAAAACCAAAAATACCTTCCTCCATAGGTATATTACGAGCACGACCTATACCGAGAAGTAGGATTTTTCTAGCCGCAGACTTTGCCACATCCTTTTTTTGTGCGGACATGTTACTCATATGGACTTGTTGCATGTCTTTAACATGAATTTAAAGATCAAATACATATAATAAGTTAGATGAAGTATAAGATCGTGAATTAACCTTTCCTATGTATAATATATATATATATATATATATATATATATATATATATATATATATATATATATATATATATATATATATATATATATATATATATATATATCAATTTACCTCCTTTTTAGATGCAACTGACTCGGTCTGCAGCTGAATCCCCTTATCTTTTGATTTGGATTTCATGGGAGTCTAACATTACCATGAAAAAAATGCACGTTAAATGGTCGTAATAGTTTTCATAATAGTTTTCAACGCTGCAAATGTTAACATACCTCATCATCTATGCAAATGAGGCTTTATGCCATGCAACATAAGATCCTATTGCCTCTCCGACCAATGTTGCATCTTAAATATCGTCAGACAACGGTAATGGCGCATCCCTCTCTATAACAATTTCAATTGATACTTTTAAAAATCCAGCAGGGAGAAGTTTATGGTGAAGTACTTCTCCCAAGGTGTTATGCACTTTTCCCTTGCCAACCATGCGATAAGCCGGTGACGATAAATATAGCTGACAAGGTGAAATGCCCTAAACAAATAATAAATATTAAATTTTTAATGTTTATATATGTAAATTAAAAATACTATGCTAATTCATAATAATATATGTTACCTCGAAAATTTTCTGTTGGAAATCACAATTCATACTATTTTTGTCACTAGTATCCTTGAACCCTGACCCTTGCCTTTCTGACATGTATTTTTCTTTGTCCTTTTCTAACTCATGAACTTTAGCTTTTAATTTGTCTAACTCTTCCATCACTTCATTATTTTTATGACCTTTCTTCTTTTGATGAATACCCAAAGATGTTGGAGTTACCCCGAATCCCTTACCCCTCACACAACTGGAATACCCAGGAACATTTAATACTCAACTAAGTATGCTCCTGCA